GGAGGGGGAACGAGGAGTGCGGGCTCGGGAGGAGCTGTCCTTGCTGCGGGCTGTGGGAATTCGGGATTTTCCCCCGAAACCGAAGTCGCCCAACCTCGTGTCGTGGTGGAGGGGCTCACTCAAGCCCCGCACCCTTGCCACGGGGGTCTCTGCGTGCCGATGGGGACGCAGGCTGGCAGGGGACCCCAGCCCCAGCCCAGGGCTGTCCCCGCGGGCTGTCCCCGGTGCCGTGCCGTGCCGGGCCGGGCCGGTGCTCGGCGCTGCCGTGCTCCGAGCGAGGGAGGGAGGGAGGGGCGGGGGAAGGGATTGGCCGCCCCCAGCGAGGCCGGCCCCGCCGGGCGGCCGCTGCCCCGGCACTCGCCCGCCCGCAGCTCCCGGGGCGGCCGCGGTGCCGCGGCTCCGCACCATGGACCGGCTCAGCGGTAAGGGGACGGGACGGGATGGATGGGACGGGACGGGATGGATGGGACGGGATGGGATGGATGGGACGGGACAGGTCGCGCATCCCCTGCCCGCAGCACAGCGCGGAGGGCACCGCGGATGCCCGTGCCAGGCGAAGGGAATCGCGCATCCCGTCGCAGCCGAGCGGCCGCATCCCCCCGGCTCCGTGCGGGACGCTGCTCCCCCCACCAGTCCTGCAGCAGGGCCGGCTGGGGTAGGAGCTGGAAGCAGTTTTGCTTTGCTGGTAGGATGGGTAAAACGTCAGGAGCCTGCAAGGGAAGCTGTGGGGTGTACGCGTTTGTTAAATTGTGGTCGTGGAAAGGGAGGTGACGTTCCCCGATGGGGCCGATGGGGTGCAGAGGGTTTCCCCGCCGGGGAGTCTCCCGAAGCCGCGGAGGGCCCGGTCCCCGCCCTGCCGGGGAGCAGCTCCATCCCACACGTGTGCGATTGCTGCCTGCAGCCCGTGGCACCGGGCTCACGGAGCTCCCGGGCTTTGATCTGGGATCTGTGTAAACCTGCCAGGGCTTGGGGCCGGCTCTGCAGAGAAGGTCCTGGCGTTCTGCTGGGGCTGCCAGATCCCTGCAGGGAGCGCGGGGAGGTTTGCAGGGGGATTGCTCCTCGCTGCTGCTGCTGCGGCTGATTGCATCGGGGTGCACGGGAGGAGCAGGTGGTGACACGATGGAGCGCGGGGGTCCTGCCCCTTGACCTGTCCTTGGAGGTGCTACAGAAACAATGGCCAAAAGCCATAAGAGAGTGGCCAGGGGCGTCTCTGGCTGCCGGGGCTGGACCGAGTCCCAGGGTGGCTCAGGAGTGCTGTGTCTGCAGCCCCGGGGCAGCCCCGCAGAGACCCAGGGGTCAAGAGTTCCCCTCGCCCATGGAAAAGGATGGGGTGGCGTTTCCGCACTGGAAACAGCCCGGAGGAGTTTGGGACTGCTGCGAACACAGGCGCGGTGTCAGCGGCCCGCGGGCCGGGAGGGGACGGGGACAGGGATGGGGACAGGGACGGGGACGGGGACAGGGACGGTGACAAGGACAGGGATGGTGACAGGGACAGCCGTCCCCAAGGCTGTGTCCAGCCGGGGTGGCTGTGCCCGCTCTGAAGGAGAGGGAGTGCTTTCAAGTGACACTTGATGCCAGAGCTGTCCTCCAGGGTCCCAGGGGACGCCACTGCTGGGGACAGGGGGCAGAGGGTTTCTGATGAGAAATTCCCTGTTTGCGCCCCAGCCCACCCCAAAAACCAAACCTAGGACCTGATGGCAGGGAAGGGGGGGATGCCCAGCTGAGGGAGCCGTGTCTGGGCATGGTTTGACCTCTCCACAGGTTGACCCTGCCAGGGAAGAGCTGTTTTATCCCCCTCGCTGGTGCCGGTGACAGCAGCGCCTGCCTGCTTTGTTTTTGAGTGCTTGTGATGAATTGCTGTTGGCACCTGGATGGCTTTGCTAATGGAGAGCTCCCCCTGCCCCTCCTGCTCATCAGCCAGAGCTGCTGGATCCCTCTGGGGGCTGTGGCTCGTGGAGGGAAGGTTCCTTTCCCCAGTAAAAAGGAGGGGTCTGGCGTTAGGCAGGAGCTCTGTGCCCATTCCCAGTCTCTGGCAGCCCCTTCCTTCACCTGGAGCTGCTGTATCCCGATTTTATCATCTGCCAGTTTTTTCTCGTGGCTGACTGGGAGGATTGGTGCCGTGGGCTGTTGGCAGAGTTGTTTCAGGTCGTGCTGATGGAGAACCCAGCTCCCAAAACGTGATTTGGGAGGTGATCCTTTGCTCAAACACGCCTGTGCTCACACATGGCTTCTCCTCCCTCGGTAGTGTCTCTTCCCTGACCTTTTGAGCCACCACAATTTAGGTCCTGCCCCAAACTTATCTGGGCTCTAAATCCAGCCAAGCCGGCGGAGATGTGTCAGGGATAAACTTGGCTCCAGCTCGCCCACAGGAATGGAGAGGCTGCGGGACGGGTGGGAGGGAGCCGGGATCATTCCTGCCGGGCTGGCAGCAGGAATCCTGGCGGTGGCAGGAAGGGCTGGGGGTGCTGAGGAGCACAGCCCGGGCCAGCTGTTAGCGCCGGGCAAGTGCCGAGCTCTGCTCCGCATTGCAGCCATTCCTTCCCCGAAACCCGGCCGCCGCCTGTTCCCAGCCCCGGGGTGCTGGGGAAGGGGCTGAGCCCCCCTGGGCTGGGTAGAACAGGCTGGGAGGTGGGATGCTGCTGCTGCTGATGATGATGATGATGATGAAGGGCTGGAGTTGTTTGCCCCTCTGGATTTTCCCATCTCCCGCTGGCCGGAGCAGGGAGAGCCTGGATCCGTGTGAAGCCTCCCGGCAGCTCTGGAAGGGCACAGGGGGGCTGCTGGAGAGGGGAAGGACATCGTGGCATGGTGTCCCCCCAGCCAGGAGCCCTGGGGACTGTCCTGTGTGCTGCACTGCCTGGAAAACCTGCCTCTTCCCCGCTCTTGACCTGGAAATGTTCTTTTCCTGTGCAAACGTGCTGAGCTGCGAGGCTGCCCTGGGCCGAGCAGCGGTGCCTGAGTCCCACGGGCCTGCAGGAGGTTCCTCTCCCTGCCCAGGAAAACTTTGTTTAAGGTTTTGAAGGAGCTGTCTCACCCCGAGCAGTGGGAAGCCTGTTCAGAGGAGAACACTGGGCTGGACCCAAGCTCTGCCTGTTGTTCAGTGGCCAAATCACTTGCTGGGGACAGGAGATAACAGTGGAGCAGAGCAGAGGCTTGAAGTGGTTTCTGGCTTCCCAGACTTGTGTCCTAACCCCCCAACCCTTCCCTATTATCTAGTCTGGCACAGCTCCCCCTCCCTCCTGAGGAACACATCTCCTCCTGCCTATGAGGAGTCCTAAAATGAACGACACAGCTCTCTGTCCTGTGAAATACCGATTAAATGTCACCGTGCCAGGCCAGCGACAAGACAATGGGGCTGGAAACCTTTCCCTGCCAGCCCTGCACAAACAAGGGGCTGGCAGCCCAGGCAGGGCACCCACGAGGTGACAGAGCCCGGAGGGCAGCCTGGCAGCAGCAGCCGCCTGTCATCACCCCGAGGCGCTGAAACAGCGGCATTTGGGGAGCTCAGGCCCCTGGGTGGACTCTGGGCTGGCAATCTGCAGTGGGGAAGGATAAAATATCCTCCCAGAGCCTCCCCCCGCAGCGCGGCTGCTGCAGCTCCTTCCTTTCCTGCTCCTGATAAAGCCTCCCATGGCATCAAAGCGGCTCTTTGGCAGGACGGGGGAAACTCTGACATTTCGTAACCGTTTGGAACAAAAACAGCTTTGCTGCGAGGGGTTTCCACGTTCAAAATATTTTTTTTTCTTTTTTTGAAGTGGTTTTGGTGTGCATTTGATCCTGGAAGTGATAAGAGGGAGCTGGGGGAGACGCTGGTATGCTCTGATTGCTGGCCATTAGCAGGAGTAGTGTAAGGAGCGCTTTGAAGAGTGGCTTTGGCTTTCTCCGGGTTTGTTGGTTTTTTTTTTTTTAACATTAAACCCACCCAAGTTTGTGATGGAGGAACAGCCGCTCATTTTAAGCGGTCCAAACTTCTGGAAAACCGTGGTTGTGAAGGGCAGAACAAGGACTAGAACTGCGGTAGCAACAGGTTGGAGCGCTGGTTTTGGTGTCCCGGAGTTCGATGCAGGTGAAGCAGTCCCAGCACTGCCGGAGCGGTCGGTCACACCTTGTCACCGCTCCCGCTGGCACATCCCGGCTTTCCTGGCCTGCAGCCCTGCCCTGCAGGGGTTAAACGGGTCGGAAATGCTGTGGGATGGTGGCCCCTGCACCTGATGCTCCCGGCGGAGCTCGGCGAGGGAAGGAAAGGGAAGGGCTGAGAAAACAACGCTCATCCTGCTCGAGAGGGTCCTGCGGGGCAGGAGGCAGCCCCAGGCACGGAGCCCCTCTGCTGTGCCCTCCTGGGGACCTGGGGACCTGGGGACTTGGGGACAGGGCTGAGCTGGCACTGAGAGGGTCCCAACCCTGCTGTGCCCAGCCTGAGGACCTGGGGACCTGGGGACAGGGCTGAGCTGGCACTGAGAGGGTCCCAACCCTGCTGTGCCCAGCCTGGGGACCTGGGGACAGGGCTGAGCTGGCACNAGGGCTGAGCTGGCACTGAGAGGGTCCCAACCCTGCTGTGCCCAGCCTGGGGACCTGGGGACAGGGCTGAGCTGGCACTGAGAGGGTCCCAACCCCCCCAGGGGCAGGGGACTCGTGTCCAGCACAGCTCTGAACTCATGGGCATTGTCAGGGCAGGGATGCCAAGGTCAGGCTGGGTTCTGGGCACATCTCCCTGCCCCAGGGCCCCAGGGACATTTCCCCCACTGGCATCTGTGGGTCCTGCTCCCACCAGCTGTGCAAAGAGGGACCCACATCCTGCTCTTGGAAGCATTTGGGAAAGAGCAGTGGGATTTGGGAAAGCTGATCCTGCAAATCCCTGCCCGTCCCCTGCTAGGTGAGGGTTGGATCCTCCTCTCCTGCTCAGGATCCTGTCACAAACTCCCCGGGTGACTTCTCATCCCAAGAAGTTGTGCCAGCTCCACGTCTCACTCCTGCAGGTTGGGAATTGCATCCGAGGCATTTTGGAACTGACTTTGGGGAATGGGGATGTGCAGGACGTGGAGAAGTGTCTCATGGGGTGCAGAGAGCTTTCCACCCCCGCCACAGGAGATTTTGGGGATGTGGGGGCTGCATCCAGCCCTGCGTGGTGGGGATTGGGGTTTCCCACTAGAATTCCTGCACTTAGCTGGAATTCCTGCACTTAGCTGCAATTCCTGCACTTAGCTGCAATTCCTGCACTTAGCTGCAATTCCTGCAGTTGGAGGCTGAGGTGTGGAGGAGACCCAGGGCTGCAGAGGTGACAGCTCCAGGTGCCCCCAGGCAGGGAGGTGGGACCCAGGGAGGTTTCCCACTGCTCTGCCCACCTCAGAGGGTGGCAAAGGGTTGGGGCACCATGCCAGGGCCTCTGCCAGCTCTGGAGAGGAGCCCAGGCCAACCTGTTGCT